GACAATAAAAATATCTGTTTTTGATTTTCCTGGATGAGTTATAGTTTTATGACAATGCCTATCTGGGCTAGATACAGGCCTTTTCAACAGGGACTTTGTTTTTAAATTTTAAATGAAACATACATTTTGGATGAAAGATCTGTATTTCTTTATTGATATATAATGTAGAAAGGCTACAATTTATGAATCAAAAAGAGTATCGGCCAAATGTCCACTACGACCACGTTTACAGAGGTCGATCTTTTTGTCAAAATTTTCTATTACATTTTTGCATAATTGCGACCCTATCTCATCAATTACGCTTCGGATGTTAATTTTCAAGGCTTCGATGGATTGTGGATTATTTGCATAAACTTGATCTTTCACATAGCCCCGTAAGAAGTACTCTAACGGCCTTAAATTATACAATCTAAGCGGCCAATTGACTGCAGAATTACGCGAAATTATTCGATCGGGAAATTTCGTTCGTAATAAATTCATTGATTCCGAAATTTTGTTGCAACGAAAGCTGCGAATGATCTAAGAAAATGCATTTGGTTGTGATATTTTAATCATCGTTATAAATAGACTGTCGATTTTATGCATTATAGCGATTATGATTGTTTAAATCTTAGGATACAGAAATATTTAATGAACTTTGATGATGTATTAATATATATAATATATATATTTTGATGATGTGTTATTATACAGAGTATTTCACGTAACTTGACCACCTTAAATATATCGCTTATTTTGTATGATAGAAAAAATATCAGGGGAGAAAAATATTCTGTTCGAAGGCGCAAACGGTGATGGGCCGAATTTTTTTCTCAAGGTCATTTTTTTTCGAGATTTCAAGGTCATCGAATTTTTTTTAAATGGGACTACATATTTTCACTACAACACTCTTATAGCATATAAAAAAACAAATCCAACGAGGTGCAATATGTTGACCTTCACGTGACCTTTAGCGAAATAATCATGAAATGTTTGTCAGTAAGCTCAGTAAGCGTTCGGGGACGGTAAATGAAGGAATTTCAATTTCATTGGAACAGTGTACCCTGTAATTGTCCCTTGTGCTTGTAAACAGACATTCGTATTCTCCTTTCATCGGCTGAAGTATGTTTACAAGCATTATTATCAAAGTAAATCTTAGGGTTAAGGTAATCTTAGCAAGCTATTATCGCTTTACAATCAGTATCGGTACAACAAGGTACAGTATCGGTATCTCAGTGCTTATCTATCATGTACACTACAGCAGAAAAAGTTGAAATGATTTTAAACTACGGAGAAGCAGGAAGGAACTCAACGCATGCACAACGGTTGTATAAAGAAAGACATCCTGATCGTCGCGTTCCTTCCAGGCGAAATTTTGACCGCATGGTAAAATTATTTACTGAATCAGGCAGTGTCATTTCACCTAAAAGAAATCGTACTAAAACTAACACAAACGAAAGAGCTGAAATTGCAGTTTTGGCTGCAGTACAAGCAAATCCTCATGTTAGTTGCTCACAGATTGCATCCGAGTCTGCCTTGTCTTGTACAAGCGTTTGGCGAATTTTGAATCGCAACAAAATCCATCCATACCATGTTTCGTTACATCAAGCACTTGATGAAAATTCGGCCCATCACCGTATTGGCGCCTTCGAACAGAATATTTTTCTCCCCTGATATTTTTTCTATCATACAAAATAAGCGATATATTTAAGGTGGTCAAGTTACGTGAAATACCCTGTATATAAATAGATAATAAAAATCTATATTTGCATGAAAATCCGCAGTCTAGTTATAAGAGTATGTACGGACCAGTCAGTTTTGATTCTTTTTGTACTTCTAGAGTTAAGAGTAACCGTGTTTGCACGATTTTTTTCGTGATCCAAGCTTTGAATTAATCGTCGAGACGAAACCTGGGATTCAACTGCTTCGAGAACAGTTGCCGTTGCACGAGCGTGCCACGAGATGGGAAATGTTTTTCCTCGAAACAACCAAATAGAAATTTGAAAAGGGGGTAGGGGTGAAAGCTGGGACAGAATTGGCCGGAAGCCAGCCGCGGCAGCATTGTTACTGTTCCACGGTATGTAAGATCGCGCAGTAAATCGACTCGAGTGGATTGTCACTCGTTTGACAGACAGCCCGACAGGTGGCAGACAGACACCGAAAGGTGTCAAGAATTTCTGCGCTTTCGGCCCTGGGAGGAACGGGTCGATCGAGATGCTTCCTCTTTGTATTTGGATTTTACTCTTCGCCACGTTAAATGTGATTTTGGTCTAACTTTGGAACTAATTAATGCAGGAGATGTATCGGCAACAGTGTAATTTAACCCTTTTAGTGCCGAGCGAAAAAGTTGAACCTGAGCGAAAAGAGCCGAGCCAAACTGATGTATGTAGTTTGGTAAGGTTTGAGAAAAAAATGATAAAAATTTAATTTTAAACGATAATTACAAAGTTCAAAGAGGAACAGGTTAAAAAATAAAGCGGATATGAATTAATGACTGAAGTATTTCAATATTTGTTAAAAAATATGTTAATAGTGTTTATTCCAAATTATAAAGAAAATTCGTTAAGTTGATCATCTTTTATAAACAGCGTTTACAAATAAAAAACATTGTCACTCTGACATAGTTTGACGTAGAACATATAAAAGATGAATAATATATATTCAATTATTTATAAAAATGTTGCAACTATTTCAAAAGATAAATAAATAATAATTCTATGATGCACAGCAAGTGTCGGTAGAGTTGCCTACTGCAAAGCAAATGATTCGTAGTACATATTCATAATATTATAACTGGATTGATGTAATGTAACGGCAACGGCAGAAATCTAAATGAGTTCTGAACTATTAAACGCATCCAACAAGTTCAGAGTTCTCATTTTCAAGCGGAAGCTTGAAGTGACTTACACAGAACGATATATCGTCGTTAGCACTTTTCGCAAGTAAGTATAGCCAAGGACGATATATCATTGTTCGGCACTAAAAGGGTTAAGAAGCAACGGAATTGAAAATAAATGAAATCGCTGAAAGGATGGGGATAGAAGGGAATTAAATGTTGCCGTCGACATTGTAAGCACAGAACGATTGTTTGTACAAAAGAAACTCAAAGAGATAGAATGTACCGTTTCCGAGAAAATGGAATTTGATTGTTCAATATTTACAACTTGTCTGACGCGTCTGTCTATAACCGACTGTTTCTACTTGCAGTAAACGTTAACATATTGAATGTTGAAATTTTGCTTTATTATGACGGTACTGTAACTACATTACACCTACATTTTCACTGTTGACAATCACTTAGATTCCTTAATCCTTGGGTAGCTGTCCATGGAATCTACGAAATTTTATGTTCCTTTTGTTTAATTGTAATATAGTCTTAATATTTGGTAAATAAGTGCCATCTAAATTGTGCCGTTCATTGCGAAATGTAAACAGTTAGACAGTAACGCTTTGTATTGTACGAATTTACTGATTTCATAGGAACCTCGTAATCATAAACACCAGAAACGTCATTACTCGAATACCATGGATCACACTCTCGTGGCATTTTTATCGTTGCTCGTGCCCAAACTGTAATGAAAACTTATCAATGACATCTCGAAACGAATATATGCAACGGTCGAATTAACGAAAATTGACCGCGGTGAACGTGACCAATCACACGTTGATCGCCTCGTAATCAAATTTAGCGGGATTACAATTTCGGGACGGAGATGCCTCTCGGTCATAATTTACTTTCGACGTTGTTATATTTGACGAATTTCAATGACTCTGCCCCGCGTTTGGAATCGACAGCAAAGTGTTCCCGGGGCGGTTGATTGCGCTGCAGCCTGAAACAAACGCGCTTAATTTCGAAAATATTGATTGTTCATCGCCGTGTAGGTTCCATTTCGAAATCACGAGTGCTTTACGGTGTTTGTGACGCGAATCGGGGGAACGTGAAACGAGCGATAAAAAATTTCTCGCTCTCGACTACATTTTGTAATATCAATTTTGTCGCGATAAGACAAGTTTAGATGCAACTTTAAAATTATGTTAAGGTGCAACACCACTGTGACAGTTGGGTAAATAAATCTTTTTTAAGAATTTGTTTCGGGAATAATTTACAGGCTCCACGTAAAACTTCTATTACCTAGTTTTAGTACAATGTCCTAGGAGATTAAAAAAGTTTAATAGAAAAACATGCAGAAATTTAAATATACGATTAATCTTCTAGAGCCGTCACAAAAAGACATAGGTCGCTGGCAGGATAGGTAACGTTGGAACAACAGCTCTGATATCAAATGTAACATTTTTCTTATAAACTATATGGAATTAGTTTCCGTTACACGTACGGATTTTTAAAAGCAATTATTTTTGTAAAAATAACGCTCTTTAGAAAAGAAAGTTTCGAAGATCCGCAAAAAATAGACGCTTTTCCGAGAGTAATTTAAAAAATGTACTTTCGATCACAAAATCCGTACGAGCAACTGACGATAATCTTGTTTAACAATTCTGTCAAAATTTCAAGTCGTTCGAATAAAAACTGACAGTTATCGTACCCGTCAGTTAGAAAAATGTTGTTTTGAGAAAACCGCGTTTACAGTTTGACTTGAAATTATTTATGTAGGTAATCAAAATGCACTGTATCTTTGTGACTTCTTCGAATATCGATTTACAATTTTCAGATAGTGTTTTTGAAGACTTAAACTTCAAGAAAATGAATTTTAAAAAATTGATTTTTGTTTAAATTTCACAGTAGTTTTCCCCCTTAAGAATTTCGGATACTAATGGATTGTAATCCCTATTTTACACGAGTATTTCGCGTTTAATAATCGACTATGGATGCTTTTATGCAAATTCAAATTTTTGAACATAGAGATGAACAGAAAATAAAGATGAACCGTTGTTACACGATCGACGAATTGTCCACGATTTAAATGATCCGCGTGAATCGTCAGTCGGGCACGTACCTAACGCCATCTCGAGAATTTCGGTGGGGTCAAGACCATCACCGAACATTCAATTGAGTCGTACTCTGATCAGCATGACGTGAACACGTGTCAGTAAAGTCGTCGTGATTGGGAGAAATGCTGGATCCAGAAATGCCGTCCGACGATTCCATGATCCATTCGTGTGGTGTTCACGCTCGATGTCACTGCTAAATCATATTTCGGAAACACCGCCTGCATTTGTGACTAACAAGGTAAAGACGGTTTCGAAATCCTTGGTAAGAATTCTCTTGAGTTTCGTCTTAAGTATTCTTTTTTACATCTATACTTTGTAGTATCCACCTCTATATCTATCTTTATAACTTTATTTTTTATTCTATTTTCAAAATATCCGTTTTATGTTACTAATTATAGATCTCCAATTCTACATTTCGAGACACGCAATTCTGCATTTAAGAATTTCCAGATTTATAAGTTCTTATTTTTGCATCACTAAATCTTCGAATTCCAACAATTCCATCTGTACTGTCCTTGGACCTGTATTTCTACGTTCCTTTACTCTTACCTTTCCAAATCTCCGTAATTGCCAAGATTTCATTTTCTTATTCTTATTTCATTATTTTACTATCGTCAAATTCAGTACCCGAAAGTTTCATTTTCGCATGTGCTCGTCTTTTAATATTTTTCCAGACATATACTCGTTGCAATTCCTTCGAATTTCCATTCACGATTCATCATTCTCCGCGTTACTCTGCCGTGTCCGTTAATCATCGAGTTGTCCATTCAGTTTGTCATTGATCTGTCCCTCCCGAATAACAATGCGTCGACTGTTGCCGTCGACGCTCATCGATACAAACATCACGTCGCTTCTTTTCCAGATAACCGAAAGAGATGCCCCGAGGCAAATATAGAAATATTTTTCGAAAACAGTTAACGGAAATCCGAAATTCCTGCCGACCGAAAAAGCATCCAGAAAGGTCCCAAGAAATTCGATCCTCGCGGCGAAATGCAATTCCGACCGATGGGAGTCGTTACGAAGTATATCATACACTATTACAAATTCTTTGCGAGATACTATAGGTAAAAAACTTTTTTCGCATTATAAACATTTATCCTTTATACCAAAAAATCGTGATTTCTCGAAAACACCTGCCATTATAAATAAGAAGAATCTTTTAAAATATCTTCTAAAATATTATATTTAAGAAGAAGCTTCGGGGTTGATCTGAATCTGAGGTATTGTAGAATTTTCACCGAGATTCCCAATATCTCAACTTCCAAATATTTCCCAATATTTCAATTTTCAACTATTTCCCAATATTTCAATTTTCAACTATTTCTCAATATCAGAAGTACATTTTATCAATAACAAAAGTCGACAATCTTTACGAGATTGTCGAAGAAAATCAAAATATCACGCTTTTCGAACCGAATCGTTTCGCAATCTTAGCTCGAACAAAGTTCACAATTATCCGGTAAACGGAGCTATTGTCTCCATATTTGCAATCAACCGATTGAACAATGCGATTTTCGATATTGCTCTGGCACGATCAACGAAATTAATCAAAAATTCAATTTTCCGTTTACAAGGAAGAATCCTTGGGAAACAGAACGAGGCGAAATTCTATTCGTGTTTCGCAGCTTGCGAAAGCATGTTTGTCCCGTCTCGGAAGCTGATCTAAAAGCCCAGTTTCGCGCGGTTTCGTCGGCCCGTTAAAGTGTATATACCATCGTGTTCGCGGCGATTAAAAACTTTTATGCCCCATGCAACAGGACTGGTCGACTTGTTTTTGTCAGCCGAACTATTTATACCGCGACTTTTGGCAGCTAGGCGACAACGGTAACCGTCACGTTGCTCCTTCTCATCCGACAGGAATTTGCCAAAGAGCTAATATCTCTGCGTTTCTCTCTCTCTCTCTCTCTCTCTCTCTCTCTCTCTCTCTCTCTCTCTCTCTCTCTCTCTCGCTTCTTGTATACAATGCTCGAAATTGATTCGTACCGTTCCGGCGTTGTAACGTCCACATAACAGCGGCACGAATCATCGTAACATCGTGTGTATATGTACGTGTATTTCGGAGACACAGTCGGGCTCGATGGTCGCGTGGAATGTAAACACGATAGGTTAATGAGGTTGCTTTTGTATTACCAACCGTGTTCGTGGTATTTCCTGGGCTACTTCATTAATTCGGATAGAAGGAGGTTCCTTGATTTGCAATTAGATATCGCATTTTTATGTTAATTTTGATTTACTAAATAGAAAGTCGTCTCGAGGAGCTTAAGTAAATTTAACAGGAATAATTTGTGTCAGGTACTATCTAAGATATGAAGCGATTCAGTTTTCATTTATTTATTTAATGTGTGAACGGGCATAGCCCTTTTGTGTAATAAGTTACAATAAGAGAAATAGGAAAAGTACACTTCGTGTAGCAGTATGACAGAAATTTAATTTCAGCTTAGTGTCGTTAGGCGAATCAGGTTTATAATAATTATTTTGAATTTCCGTTTTACTAAATCTTCCTGTTACAATCTAAATCTTTGCATTAATTACCGAATTACGTTTCCATATCTACGATATGTCGTATACCTTTTTATTAAGAAACCAACAATTTAAAAAATAACCATATGTAAATTAATCTAAAAAGATTTAAATTTCCGATTCCTGTGTACTTCACAAAAACATATATCCCATCTTTCAAATATCATCTATTCTTACTCGTAAAACCAAATATCCAAGATATTTTCTGTCTGTTTCTCCCCGACAATCTCTGAAGATCAATTCTGACTAGCATCAGAACATATACTATTTCCGACCCGAAATCCAACCGCAGCCAATCAAGGCTCGAAATACGTCGCGATGATACAAAATGGTTGTTCTGCTCGCAGAAACAAAATGGACGGTCGAGGATTTCGGTCCAGGAATTCGTTCGCGGAAGATTCACCAAAACGTGACTACACGGCGGCTCTCTAATTTAACTTCGAACTTCATTGCTGCACTAATTTGAGGCATTCCTCGAGCTGGAAATCGCAGGAAAAACTGCCGTAACGCGATGGTGGACAAATGAAGAAGAAGAAATTCGAGTAAGAACCGGATCAGCAGCGAGAATCGAACATCCGAACGATCGTTTCGAGTCCTCAGGCTTTCGTCAACGAGCAAGAGCGACGAGAATCGATCGGGAATCGAGGATTTCCGATCGATTTTTCGTTTGAGGCACTCGTACGAAATCAAATTTCTTGGACGACTCGCGATGTTTTTTTTTTCTCTTTTGACAGAATGATCTAAACAGGGCTGGTTTCATAAGAGATTTTGCACGGGTTTTGCATACGCGTTCGATATCGAAATTTGCAATAATTTAGAGATAGTGGAGTGTTTGTACGTTTTATCTGTAGAATTAAAGATATCGTGGCAGATTAAGGTGGTTTCATCTGCTAGAACCAAATGGTTTCAAGTATGATTGTCATCGGACAGAGACTGCGAATCTGATCCAATGTGAATTACTTGGAAACGCTTTAGGAATTATTTACGAGCCTTGACTGGAAATTTCGAAGCGCTAGAAATTTCTAGTCGTTGATCGTAATCAATTTCGTCGTATATATAAAATGGGAGGAGGTGGCCATAAACCTTATACGTATATGCAAGTGTTCACAATTGGTTAGATTAGTGTTAAGTTTTGTCGGAATGTTGGAAGATTTTTTTGTATAATTCAATGAAGTTTGCTAACCACAGTATTATAGAATTCGTATTTGTAATTATTTAGCGATTGAATAGCTGGAAATTTCGATAACCGCTCGCGATGTGTTTAACGATTGAAATCCTACTATGACAGTTTGGCAGACGTCTTTTTCGTAATTAAATCGTGAGGATAGAAGCAAGCAACGGTCGAAATAATTTTATCTGTGGATACGATGTTTGCTATTTTATTCGATTGAGATTTAGAATTTTCTATCAATTGATATCGCGAATTATTTACTGTTTTCTTTTATAGAACGATCATATTGATTTTACTTCTTGAGAAGGTCGGTTTTTACCCAATTAACAATTGTTATACAGAACCGTTGTTTGCTTCTCTCCCGAATCTTGCTTTCTTGTTGTAAATAAGTTCAAAGATTGTAAATAGGTCAGCTCGATTAAGTTATTTGTTTAGATTAAATTCTTTTACGATCACGAAACATTTAATTAATAGTAAGAATGTGTCTTTTAAATTTAACATTAAGCTTTTCGTTTAGAACTATTAAAGATAAATTTTAGATAGAAAAGGCAGATTGCGAATTAGGATAGATCGATTAAGGATCAGTGGATCTAGTCGTACACGATTAATTGTTATTTATCTTGAACGTACAATAAGTAAAAATGTATTTTTAACATTCTTCTCATATTATGTTCGCCACGAAAGTCCCATTGATAATTGGTAGCACAATGATTATATTACAAAGACTGTTTTAAATGCGAACATGTATATGCGATTTACTGTAATTTCTTTTGTACTTGCTTGATATTATCATATTATGTATTATATTACAAAGTAACTTAGGTAATAATGCGCACAATACGGGGAAAACAATGTAGATGCACAACATTAGAATATACTGATAGAATAACGAGTGCCTGATCAATGACGACCTATTCCCCTTCTATGCCTCAAAATAGTTATTTAGACTTTTCTTTTCAGTTATTTACAAGTGCTATGGTGTTCCTCCATGGGAATATTGAATTCTGAATGTTGTAAGGTAGTCTCTATTATTCTTCGAATATGTAAAAGTTTCAACTTCTGTGCGGGAAAAATATTTGAATCCACATTTGACTAGACAACGCCAATCAAAATGAAATTCTGAAGATTCAGTAAATTTTGAACTTTCTTGCAATGTATTTAAGTTTTCTAATAATTATTCGATCACCATCACACGAGATAAATGGTGGAATATCGGTTGTAATAGGTATACCATTATGTATTATGAATCAGTCAAGCCTGCTACATAAACTTTGAGAAGACCAAGATCCTTACAAGTAAACAATAATTGTACCTATACAGGGTGTAACAAAAATGTTGGAGGACCCGGAAATGGGAGACTCGTGAGGTGATTTGAAACCTTTTTAAAAGTTTTTCCTTAACAAAAATGTTATCTGAGGCCTTTGTTAACGAGATATTAATGAAAAACCCCGATCAATCAGAGCGCTGCGATTGGTAGTCAACGTTACCACGGGAGCTCGGCCGGCAGACTCGAGCTCTGATTGGTCGGGGTTTTTCGTTAATATCGCTTTAACAAAGCCTCAGGTAACATTTTTGCTATGGAAAACTCGTTTCAAATCAACTCACGAGTCTTTCATCCAACATTTTTGTCACACCCTGTAGAAACAATTTCATCCACTCACGTGACAAATCCTTCCCGTTACGAAGTGACAATTCTATTCGTTCGGAAACCATGAATCACCTCGACTAAAGACAATCCTCCCCTAATAGATCAACGATATCAACCGTCCAACTCTATTCAGCCCAATCATATTCATCCACCAATACGACTTCATAACTTACGACCAAAGAATGCACGATGTCCATGCAGCCTATCAGAATCATTCGTCCCTCCAGAATAAAAATTCCATTCGTTCTCTCGAAGAAACCCCACGAGTAGTCCCGACGCAAGAAAATCGTTTCAGTTGTGGCAACACTGGCCCATCAGTTCTCCACGTTTCTTGAACACGATTACCACGTAACAGTTAAAATTCAGACATGTCACCTGCCGAGGAATCGCAAACGGTCGAGAAATCGCCAGTGGAAAACGACGGAGAATCGAGGGAAATGGAGGAAAAGTCCTTGGACCAGATGGATCAGGTGGATGTGGACTCAAGCACCGCTCGTAAATTCTGCAAAACTTTGGACGTTCTGCTGGCAGACGTCGACAATAACGATAACCTGTACACCGCGGTCCGTCAGTGCTTGCACAAGGTTAATCGAATCTCACGAAGTTCGCTATCCCCAGTGAGAAGCCCCCGTGCACAGGCGGATCGAGGCGGTGTATCGCGCGAGTCGATCGGGAAGCTATCTGCGATCAAGGCGTTCTTCGAGATGAACATCCAGACGAGGAAGAAGACCAAGAAGAAGACCGTCATGGACAAGCTCACGTCGTCCCTGGGGTTGAAGAAACGTGGATCTTTCTCCGACGAAGTGACCTCTGCAACTATGTACAGTGGGTAAAAAAGGTATTCGTACACACTTTGAAACAGAACAACTCTTTCAAAATTGGACCAAGTGACTTGAGTTTCTTTGTGAAGTTCGAAGGATTAGTTTACTAAATGATGTGGTAACCAAATTTTGAAAAATTTCCGACTTTTCAGAATGTCGAAGAAAATAGTAAATGTTTTTTTACAACTTTTTTGTTTGAGACTGTAATGAAAATTTAATAAATACATTTCGAAGATTTATGTCAGTTATATACATGCTGCAACTTTTATTGAAATCGGTTAATACAGAAACGAGTAACGGGTATCGAAAGATGTAAGAATCTTTAGATATGCTCTTCAGAAAAACTGCGATTTTCAACATTTTTAATCGCTGGTATCTCATAACAACGTTAATCGGTTTCGATGAAGTGTTGAGCATGCATATAACTAACATAAATCTAAACAATGTATTCGTTAAATTTTCATTACAATCTCAGATAAAAAAGTTGCAAAAAGCGACCTTTACTATGTTCTTCGCGATTCCAACCAATTGCAACTTTTTTAACATTTTGTTAATACATGATTTAGTACACTAATCCTTGTAACTTCACAAAGAAACTGAAGTCACTTGGTCCAACTTTGAAAGAGTTGTTCTGTTTTAAAGGGTGTACGAATACTTTTTGAATCCACTGTAGATCTTAAACGATATGGATTTTTTTTGTGTTGGATGTAGAAAGCATTCGCGGTGTGTCAGTTTGATGGTAGACTGTGGGCGTTTATGCAAGGTTAGGTATTTGAATTAGTAATGTATAAAAATTGTTGTTTCTTGTTATAGGACTTTTATTATTATAACACTTGATTGACCAGTGTTATATACTTTGATTGCAATGTGGCAGACGCGTTGAAACTGGAGCTTAATACTTATGGTAAGATGTTCAGTGAGAAAAGTCGTGTTCTGGCCCAGGAGATTAGGAAGGTTATAGAAACCAGCTCACTGCATCTTTTTGGTATCTTGTAGAATCATTTTTTTTTTTGAAAAATCAAGAACCAATAATCATTTTAAGACCATCTAACCCTCTTAGTACATGCTAATTTTTCTGTGTACCATCTAGAAACACCTTGGAGAACATGAATTTTGGAGATATTTATTAAAATTCATATATTTTTTCTAATAATAGAAGATAATTTTGCACTTTTTTAATTTAATTGTAAAGAGTATATTGTTTTGCATAAAAAATGTTGGAAGTATTATACTTTCGTTTGTTTCTGTATTAGAATTTATAATTTGTATTTCGGTTTTTGTTTTCAATCATTTGGTAGTTTTATTGAGGTTCGTCTACAATAATGCAATTACATTGATAGTATCTAGAAATTAATAGTGAAAGTCATTTTCGTTGTAGTTCCTTCAGGTTAATATATGCTATAAACGCCTGCAGTCTATTACATTGCGGTAAGGTTTACCACATCTATAACAGCTTTCATTGGTATATCGTTTTCTAATCCAACTGAAGGAATCCACGAGCTTTCGTGATTTACGACACATATTCTCGACCGTGAGTTACAGGATTCATAAATTTATATTATCTCTTAATCCCGCAGTATCCACGGAGATCGGTCTGGACGTGAACGACAACGTAATATCAAAATAGGAAGCAGAAACCAAAGGAAAAGCTTACACCTAATCGCGTTGATCAAGAGAAGAAAGAACAGAGAATACAAAAAGACTGGATGAATACACTATAATTCTAAGTGAATCGAAACCTTAATCGAATCATACTGTACCACCGAGCAACACGCTACTTTTTCCACATTATTATCTCCCATAGAATAACCGTGTTAACAATAGATCTCTCACTACTACGCTCTGAAGAAGATACATCCACGCTGGTCCATTTTTTGTGTAATCAAAAACAAATAACAGCGGATTACTCGTTGGTACATCCAAGAAAATAACACGATAAATTGAAAAATTCTTGAGCTCTCGAGTAATCGAGGCCCCCTTTTTTTTTTAATCGAACAAATAACGAATGTGGGGTCGTGTGAAAAAATTCCATTTTTCTTTCTCTATTATTCTTTTCCGTTTTGTCGTTTATGCAACGTAACCGCGCGCGTGCTCGCTCGCTTCGCTGTAAAAAAGAAAGAAAGAATAACACGCGTCTAATATAACATTCGGCGTGTGCGAACGCGAGCTAATTTGTCTGTGGCGGCAACAGAGGAAATAATAGCCCGTGAGATATAAAATGATCATCGCGCGTGTTAAGTACACTGGCCATTCCGGCCTTATTTACACGGGGACATCTGCGTCGCCGTATTTATCAGTTGTTTCACGATGCATTCGTTCGTCGTAGTTATCGTCTTCTCCTCTCTCTCACTGAGTTCCGCTCGCGCTAATAAACTCTGTGCGGCAATTAGATGAAATATCGAAGGGACGAGTTCCTGGGAACGAACTCGTTGGTACGAACCGTTTCACCATGAAAAAAAAAAAGAAAACTGTTAAATAACGTTGTCGTCGTTGTATTTCGTTGTGCGACCGAGCGACCACTTGATAATTAGGACCAGACTGCGGATTCGATTGTCCATTATGCGCATACTTGATTTAATAGATTAATTTTATCAGGTGATCTTATAAATAATGTGAATTTTTATCAATAGTTGTGGAAGGGACATCGTATGGTATAGGCGAAATATTGCGGAAAATGAGGGAGAATATGTATAGGTAGAAGAATAATAATTTAAATTGTGGTTTTGTACTTGACATTCGACAATTGTCAAAGAAACTTCGCATGAACTGATATGAAAACTGGAAACTAATAAGAATTTTGTCTTTGTCTTGTTAGGGGATTCTATCGTGATGACGGCTGACTAAATTTTGTTAAACCTTTGATCGCTTTCGCAGACTCGTAATCGTTGTGAAATTCTCAGTCCATTTGTTACTAGACTGCGAATATTCCTGCGGGAGTAGATGTTCGAGAAGTTATTTGTAGAGTACTACATATAATCTCTTTTTTTTTTGTTCTTTTTTAAGGGTCTGTTACGTTCGAAGAACTTTATTACTCTTTAGTGTACGTTTTACTGTATTGAATTTTGGACGTGGTGTACTCTGAAATACGTGAAATCCGCGGTCAACTTTTGAAACGGAACGAATGATGTAGAATTGGTTAAAAAACGACAAATATTTTGTACTGTTTCGTTTTTTTTTTCTGTTTTTATTGTAATGATTTTTTATTTGTGTTATTGAATTGGGACACCTGGATTAGAAAATATATTCGACTGAAGCAATTACGGTTATTTGTATATTCATTCGTCAATACCATCGCAATAGGGTAACGAAGAAGAAAATAATTTACGATTAGTAGATAGTCGTCAAATACATGGATTAATTGTAGATTGAACTATCATTTACATAGACTATTTTACAAGACCTGCAGTCAAAGAAAATCTCCACCACTGAAGACGTTAAGCTGAAAATAGGATAAACATCGTATCAACCTTTTTAATTCCCTGAAAATCTAATTCTAAAACCTCTATAGACTATCGACCAATGATCTACAATGATCAACATGCATCGATATATCCACCAATCAAACGTCTACATTTCACAAACATATCCACAGACTTCTTGTTAGACTCGACGAATTTCCATTGGACCATCGAAATTCACGAAACACGATTGGTCGGATTCACGTTCACCATGATCGTCGTTGCAAACCAGCCTTAACCATCCAACGACAGATTCGAATCAACGAATCGTATCAGTTACTTTTACCACTTGGTCACGGTTCGTTTCATCTCCGTCGAAATTTACGGTCTTCCACGTTTCCAAGCAAGAATACGCCAGTCGTCTTGTAGCATATTCTTTATCCCGAAGTGTATAATAATCGAGTCGTAGTGCCAGTTGCATATTTTCGTCACGGAACCGCGTGTGGAGCAAGTGTTCGCGAAAGAAACAAAGGAATTTCGTTGTCCCAGCGTGAGCGTGAAGGTCGTTAACGACTCGTTCACACGTGCACGTGTTCATCGTGAATCGGACGACGATCGTTCAACGAAACTTCTGCAGATCATCTAAACATCGAATCTCGGGCACAAAGATCGAGAAGAAAATCTTCGGTACGAAATCTTCGGTTCGAGGTTTCCTGGAAGCACTCCGAAAATGGACGAGTCTAATTTGTCGGACTCGTTCGAGCTGCCGATATCGGAGGACGTCAGCACTCCGGCTCGAACAGGTCTGGCCCGTGCGGAGGGGAGCCCATCTGTGGAGACGTTGGTGCAAAAATTGAAGAGCCTGAACTTGTCCAAGGTGCCCAGAACGCCTGTCACCACTCCTGCGAAAAAGTTCCCGTTCGCGAAATCTAACCCAGACTCGATGAAGTCGTCCTTCACCGAGGACACAGAAAAATCCTCATCGTCGCTCAGTGGGATCGAAAGGCTTAAACTCATCTTGGAGAAACGTTTCCATTTAAATTTCTCGAGTCCAGAGAAAATCAACAAGAGTCCCGTGACGAAAAAGTACATGGACAACGAGACCCTCGGTGTGGTTCTCGAACACGTGAATCAACCAGGTCGTGACCTGGACGCAGACGTCGAGGAACTGACCAGGATGACACCTACGTTTAATCGTTCCATGGATAGCTCCGTACAGGCCCAGGTCGGCTCACCTTATCAGGATCTGAACGTTTCCACGGATTCGAACGATGATTCGCTGCTGGAACGCAGTATACATTTCATCTCGACCTATAACTGGATAGTAAAGGGGGTCAAGAATCACGTGAGAGAGAGGTCAATGAATCATCGGGACGCGAGCAAGATGATTAGTGACGCTCTGGAACGGAGCTTCGACGAGAACTTGACCTCGGACCAAAAGGGCTTGGTCCTGGAGAGCTGTATGCAGAATATCGATGAATTCGTGGGGGAGGATGGAACCGCGGAAGACGACGAGGAGATCGAGTGTAATAATAATCATGTCAAGAAGTCGGAGAAACCTGGTGTCAATGACTCGGAACGAGCGAAGGGTGACACGGCTGCTGGGGGCTCTTCAGAGGATACTCCAGAGGACTCTGGGAAAGTGAATCTAATTGATGGTCGTGACGAAAGTAAGTCCGGGAGAACGTGCATGAAGGCGGGAGTAGGGGAGAGAAAGATGTCAGTGTCAATTCAAAGATCTTTTAAAAAGATGGAATATAATCTGTTACTTTGATCCTAAGCAGCCGGGCTATAAATCATCCTTAAAGAAAAGAGAGCCGCGAGCAGGGAACATTCTTGCGGCGTGTTACGCTCGCGAATGTGTGCGGAGCATTAATCGGAGAGATACGACAAGATACGACTCGCGATAACTTTGTTGCCGGTCGTGAGCAACCGGCTCGATCAATATTTACCGGACTCGGGTTTTAATTGCACCGATTTGCACCGCCAAAGCTCAGCCCGCGAGTACGCGCTAGCCGAGGATCGTTTGAGCCCCGAGTTAGCCCAGGACTTAGGTGTTTGCGCTGCACATAAGCACGAATCTTTCGAATCCAAATTTCTTCTCCTAAGTTTTTTTGGTTCTTGAAAACTAATCTACATTACAGTCTGGGAAAAATTTTATCGTTTCTTTGAAACCTTAATTACGAAACCCTATTATCACTTTTTCATAAAAGTTCATACAAACAAAATTAAAAATGGTAATGCAAGATGTATTTTTCACTTTTCCAAAAAACTGTTCTTTTATACCCCCTTGGGTTCAATGCTTAAACAGCTTTTAATTGGTTGAAATAAAATTTATGGTTGACTTTTATACGTTTACAAAATGTTTTCTGATTTTTCACAATGAACTGTCATTATTACAAATGAAATCTGATTTTAAATATAAGTAATCGTTACAGAGCACTACGTATAAAACAACAAACTATCGGTAATTTATATGTACTGAAATTAATGAAAGCTTTTGTCTGTTCTGTCAGCTTAATAGAATCATATTTAACATAAGTTTACACAATTGCCACAAGGTTGCTGCACTTAATCTGGGACTTAAACCGGTATGATTTTGATACCGGTATTTTGCCATCAAAGCTATACCGAAACCGATATATTACCGGAAACTGAAATAAATACCGGTATTGTTTCGATTTTTGTAAGAGTAGGGCTTATACAGGGTTACATAGGGCGAAGGTACAACCGAAAATACCGGTATTTTAACGTTTCAGTAGAAGTCCCTGCACTTAACACTGTAAATACAGTGAGGGACGGAATTAGGCACGGGCCCGAATTTCGTGTTCCTTACCCTATTTTGGTTTCCTTATTGAGTAAATTCTTTGAGAATTAGAAGTTCAACAGGTTTAATATCCTTGATGTTTTATCTTCACTGAGGATGAATTTATCGTAAATTCTTAATATATTGATCTGCAGGATATTTATTAAGTGAATTATTACTTGTTTTGCAGATGTCCTCTTTCCGCCATCGCACAAGTTGACAGTGTCAGAGGTGTTCGACCCAGAAACGGATCGGCCGCGGCCGGAAGTCTTGAAACAACACTTTATCCTCGAAGGTAGGATCGACGAGGCGGCGGCCCTTCGTATAGTCAACGATGGAGCCGCCCTCCTACGCTCGGAGAAGACTATGATCGATATCGAAGCTCCAGTCACCGGTGAGTCGAATCATTCTTTCCTCGTAGATCATTCCCATCCTGTCGTAATCGCGACTTGTTTCTTTTCGTACGTATCACAGTACACCTTGCCAGCATAAATCACTGGAATTCGACAGATTGTTATCTGGTCGCATATGGATATAACTATACAGGTAGGTCTCGATTAATGCGAGTTCAAATAGTGTGATATTCGATTCAGTGCAAATTATAAAATGATACCAGGTCGCATTTAATGCAACCAAAACTTCAGTTAATTTGAGATTCGCGAGACTTCCTTCATTTGATGCAACTGTGGAAGTAATTAATCTTTTGTTTTAACGGCCTCTAAACGTCTTCTGTTTTTCGTAGAGACGATGTTTGAACTGTCACTGAACTTTTTCTGTTACATAGTCACAACGCGACGTGTTAGGCCACTTAACGCATTCTGTATACAGTAAATCCTCGATGAGTGTGACTTCAATTTCTTACAATTTAATCGAATACGTACGAAAAAGGTATACTTAAATATTTTCATTGTATATTTTATTTAAATTACAACCAATTCCTTAGAATTTATTACGCGCACTAATCGAGACCTATACTTATATACAGTAAATCCTCGATGTTCGAAGGTTCCCCAGCATTGACAAGGAGATATCCCCAAGTTTAACACTGACTTTTTAACGAAGTTTAGCACATCGATAAATCTCAGAATTCTGAAGCCAATGATATTTGTTTCAGTCGCATATGGCCATTAGTTTATGAAATATATAACGTTGACCGCCGTGTAACCTTCGAACATTCATCAAGGATTGACTGTATATCATATGTCAAATCATCGCTATCCAAAGTCCTTCAGTATTCTCGCGCGAAAGAATTCGTACCATCCAATAAGATAGAACGAAGTTGCCGTCAGCGACATTCCCGTTATAAGCTCGGTCCCGAATCGCCACGAGGGCTACGATTTTAGTGTTTCCCTCGACACTCGTCCCTCTACGAACGGAGAAATCCAACGATTCTTAAACGACCCCATCAGTGAACAGGAAGCTTTGCTTCCAACCGTTCGCGATCTGAAAAAATATTTGAGCATGTCTCCCGAACGTAGATGATATATATCGTCTCGAGTCAATTTTCCTCGTCCAGGAACGTCGAGAAAGAGAGTAAACGTTCCGTTCGTTGAAAACCAACTCAGTCGCTCCGATAGACGCATTATATCGGGACACATTAGAGCGAAAAATGTAGGAAAGCTCTTGACACAGTTTCCACGTATAGCGTGTTGCGAGCGAGCCACCCCAGGAGAGGAGGCCGGATTCGTCACCTTCGGTGTGCGTTTACATGAACGGGTCGCGCGAAGGCAGAAAGTATCGACACGCCGAGCCGTCACTGTGAAACGAGCCGCCGAGCGTGTCCGTGTTGACGGATTCACGGTCGAGCGGTTCGTTTCGCTTGATCCAATAAGGGACGTCCGCGGAATCGATTCCGCTCGTGTGGACCGGCCTTAAACCCTCCCCGCTGGATGGGAAACGTGTTCGAGGCCTCGGCGCGCTTTGAAACGACCAGCTACACGATGCTCACGCTGAATGAAATATTTTTCAAACTGGATCTGGATCGTCGTGATCCTATTGCTAGCGTAAAATTGTGTTCCAGCATTAGCGTCACTAATCATCCTGCTCGCTTCCCGATGATTCATTGACCTCTCTCTCACGTGATTCTTGACCCCCTTTACTATCCAGTTATAGGTCGAGATGAAATGTATACTGCGTTCCAGCAGCGAATCATCGTTCGAATCCGTGGAAACGTTCAGATCCTGATAAGGTGAGCCGACCTGGGCCTGTGCGGAACTATCCATGGAACGATTAAACGTAGGTGTCATCCTGGTCAGTTCCTCGACGTCTGCGTTCAGGTCACGACCTGGTTGATTAACGTGTTCGAGAACCACACCGAGGGTCTCGTTGTCTATGTACTTTTTCGTCACGGGACTCTTGTTGATTTTCTCTGGACTCGAGAAATTTAAATGGAAACGTTTCTCCAAGATGAGTTTAAGCCTTTCGATCCCACTGAGCGACGATGAGGATTTTTCTGTGTCCTCGGTGAAGGACGACTTCATCGAGTCTGGGTTAGATTTCGCGAACGGGAACTTTTTCGCAGGAGTGGTGACAGGCGTTCTGGGCACCGTGGACAAGCTCAGGCTCTTCAATTTTTGCACCAACGTCTCCACATATGGGCTCCACTCCGCACGGGCCAAACCCGTTCGAGCCGGAGTGCTGACGTTCTCCGATATCGGCAGCTCGAACGAGTCCGACAAATTAGACTCGTCCATTTTCGGAGTGCTTCCAGGAAACCTCGAACCGAAGATTTCGTACCGAAGATTTTCTTCTCGATCTTTGTGACGGAGATTCGATGTTTAGATGATCTGCAGAAGTTTCGTTGAACGATCGTCGTCCGATTCACGATGAACACGTGCACGTGTGAACGAGTCGTTAACGACCTTCACGCTCACGCTGGGACAACGAAATTCCTTTGTTTCTTTCGCGAACACTTGCTCCACACGCGGTTACGTGACGAAAATATGCAAAAAAAGTTTGAGTATTTTTTATTAATCGAACTGTAGAATATAGGTATTTATGTAGGTCAGCGGAAAAAAATGCATGAAAAGAAATTCGATGTTGCTAAAAAAACATAATGCAATTTAACCGACGTCCAATATTCAATTCTGTCAATTAAACGAAACAACGTGAGTCGAAAATATTTGGATAATACGACGATTACTCGTATCTTTGTTTTGTGATCGCTTTTTATTTTTTTGCATCTATTAATGTGCTTACACTGTAATTTATTTTGTATAAAATTAAATAGAGAAAATTCCATATTTTCGTTACACCAAAAATAACACGTTATTACACACGAGTGATATATGAATATGTAAATTGTATTTTACGAAAAACAGTGTAATGCACAGAATAATATTGTGCAAATTAAAGGATATATATATTTATATCGGGAAAATAAATCAAGGAAATGTTACTAATAAGAAGAACTGGTGTTTAGAACATTAAACGATAATATCGAAAGTGAAACCATGTGACACGCGGTGTTCTTTTTTAACAACCACAGGTGTTAACTATTGATATCCTTTTAAATTTTTTTCTCGACTAGCCGGGCCGTTCAATGATGGAGCACCCTATGTAAATATTACAACGCCCTTGAATATTACACGTGGAGACAGCCACGGATGATTGAACTTTTGGAAAGTTAAACAATTTCTCAGTCCACTGTTCCAGCTTCTACAAGGGCAGGTTCATAAAAACTGTCTCCGTTGGAATTTGGAATTACACCCGTCCCTCGATTTACGCGGAGTGATCGTTCTATTTAGTTCTTTTTTAAATAAATATTTTTATAACTTATACTGCCTTTTCTCTTGAGAATTTTTTTTCGTACAGGCAGACTACATTTAAACGATTATTATCCGCATAAAGAAGAACCACATGGAGGAAACGATCCGCGGAATTTAAGGGACGGGTGTAATTACCAGCTTACATTTTCATTAATTTAATTACCAACGAAAGGAATTAGTCTCGTTCAGTCTAGTGATCGACTAATATCGACAATTCCAAGGTTCAAGGTCCCAAACGCGTCTCGAATCCATCGCTAACGGCGAGTTTCCATGTTCCGCCTCGTGACCAGGCACGCGCGTCTCTCTTCACAGACACTTTCTTTACATCCTGCGTGGCCCCTTTTTTTATTCTTAAAACCCTTTTACCCGACGACACTTCTTTTTCTTCCCTTTAACCCTGTCCGCTTTGACCCGAAGGTTGCTCCTTGCTCCTTCTCACTCGACCGTCTCTTTTCCACTCCTAACCCTTATTTTTCTCTTCTTTTTCCCTCTTATAACCCCACCTCGTATTCTTCTTACTTTTTCTTCTACCCTCTTTCTCTTCTTCCTTTCTCTCGAGTCAGCATTCACAGCGTCTTTCGCCTCCATTTTTCCTTCTACTCGACCTTCTGCCTCCCTTTCCTCGCCTCTTCATCTCCCCACCCCGAGGGAAACGTTTGGTCGATCCTCTTTTTTACCCGGTGACCCTCGCTAATGCACTTGTGCAACCCTGCAGCGTGCACATGAATCCACACGAGCGTTCCACGGAAGCGTTCTCTGTTCTTCTTCCCTTCTTTTTTTTCCCCCCCTCGAAGAGTTCCCTCCCCTTTTTCCATTCCACTTCCACCACCCAATGACTCGATCGGGCCGTTTTCCACGTGTCGCAGGATAATACTGGTTTAATTTGACCGAACCACGTGTGCAACGGCGTTCCTCGAATTATTCCGCCACGGCGAAATCGTTCACGCAGTCACTCATATTTTTTCATTGGTCGTGCATTTTTCGCCCTTGCAAACATCTACCCTCCGCGATGTAATTTCGATCCATCGACGAACTGCTGACGCTCGAACGTGTTATTCCCCCGGCCCGTGGGATTGTTTTCTCGACGCGTCATGGATATTCCCTGGCTGTAACGGAGCTGCACGCCAGCGTTTTTTTTTTTGTCTATACGCGGTACACGTCGAGCAAAATGTTTTCTCTGTTGTTTCAGCGGTACAGTGACTTTTCATTTTCGACGAGAACACAGACGGTTTCTCGTTCGACGACAAATCCAACACCCTTGAAACGCCAACAGTTTTCTCCCCCCTTTGGTCACTAATCTTCAATTACACGCATCAATTAGTTCCATCCACGGTTGCGTTCACGGTGTACACGATTCTTCTCCGAGCACAATACACAACCAGAACACAATAACTGGGGATCGATTCGATTCCGTCCTTCATCCATCCCCTCACCTCCACCCCGTCTCGCGCGTCCTCCCTCCTTGACGCGCTTGACGACGTCGCCTTCGTGCCGTGTAGTTATTGCCTTCCGTCGACGGAGCAACCTCCATCGGAGGAGGAGGAGTCGGGGGAGATTAATCCGTCTTTCTTCGCCGCTGATCCCCTTGATTTCTTTCAACGTCATCTGCAATTGGAGGCTTTCGTTC